GATTCCCTAAGTGGTGGAGGGATTTTATGGGGACATCCCATTTAGGGCTTTGAGTTCCAAGGCTCTCACTGCATATATGTCTGTGGGTCTCTTCATATGCTCCCATCTGCTGCAGTAAGGAGCTTCTCTACTGTTGATTAGGCATCATGATTTTTCTAGTTTTTTTTTTTCTTGTTTTGTTTTTAGAAAAAGAGCATTCGGTTTGGGTTTTACCATAGGTCTTTAGACTATCTAGTCTCAGATTCCTAGTCACCCTAGCAGTGTCCTCCACGGCTTCCATCTCATGCAGTGGGTTCCAAGGCAAATCAGACATGTGTTGGTTACACCCACAAGTGTGCCTCCTTTGCACTAACATATCTTGCAGGCAGGACACCATTGTAGACCAAAGGGTTTTATGGCTGGGTTGGCTTTAATGTTTCGCTTTTGAAACCATGTATTTTCCACAGAAGCTAGTATTGAAGTGTGTCTATGTAGCAAACAGATCTACTTCTTCATGTTTAATGAGTTGGATAGGTTCTGTCTTCAGCAATGAGGCTTTGCCATCAGTTTGTGAAGAGCTACCTGTAGTCTTGGCAACAGTCTGGCTAGTTTGGTGGCAGGGCATTCCATTGGACCTCTTTGGGCAAAACTGCAATTACAAGTAACCCAATCCTGGTACTTGAAGTTTTATTAAGGGACAAGAACTGTCCAGTTGGGGATCTGTCTCCCCTGTTAGTTACCAACTCAAGCAACTCCATTGTCCCCTCCTCTATCAGATATATGGCCTCTTTTAAAGTGATTATCTTGGTGATAATGGCATATGTCATAAGATAAAAATATTTAAATTTAATTTGACACTCAGCTGAGGGAAGCAGGTAGGCAAATTGCAGATCTTCCCTTCTCACTCCTCTCCTCCAAATCATTCCATCAATCTTACCCCCAGAAAATATACCACAGCAGGCCCTGAGTACAGCAACATAGCTGAAGCATGAAACAAAGAACTTAAAATGATTATTGTCACATGTACACACACACACACACACACACACACACATTGTGACTGGACAACATATCAGAGGCTCAACCCTAGAGAAGACTAATTCTCTTTCTCTTAGCAATCCTTAATTTTCTATAGATCTTCATCTATGGACAGGGTCCTATAAGATTCCCCCAATCACTGCTGGCATGTCAACTGTGCCATCATTATACATATCATGTTTAGGTAGCAATTATGTGATTGAATGGATACAAAAATATAGAAGTTCAAAAATCTGTTTTTTAACATGTTTACTGTATTTAATAAGATCATGTTGAAAATGATACCATACTGAAAAAAACTAAAACATATTTGATTATGCTGCTTTTGGAATAAGTATGTCTTTCTAGTTCCCACTGACTTCTATGAAGTAGTATTAATCATGAGAAATCATCATATCAGTGACATATATCTTTTTCTTCTTAATTAATTTCTTCCAAATGAAAAAAATGTTACACATTTATTATCACTCCTCTTGGAATTATATCCTTGAGATGATATTGCATTCTTTATAGCATGTCTTTGGCAACTGTCCTCAAATTTCTTACCATTTCCATGACATAATATTTCTTTTTCTTTTAGTTCTGAGCCAATCTTTTTATTATATCTTCCAAGCTACAAACTTTGTGTCGGATACTTATAGGTCAGCTTTACTAATGTTAAAGTAAGATTTTGCAATATACTTATCAAGATTTTTAAGATTTTAGTTGGTATTCTCTGAGAATTAGTGATAAAATTTTGTTGAGGCTGCTTTCTGTCTTTTGGATTGACTAGTTCAGTATAAGCAGTTTTGTATTGGGATCCTAGGGTGGTTCATTGGTTTCTTTTTATTGCAATAATCTCAATCATATTAAATTGCTGAAGTAGCTTGGGCATAAGTGAACAGAAGACAGGGCTCTCTCTATAGCTTGAGAAGGAGGTATACAATGCCTTAGATGATAGCTCCCTCCAGAGATCTACAAGCATGACAAAAACTAACCATCTGAGCAACAGTGGAGACCTTAAATGCCCTCCCCTAATAATAAGATTGATGACTAATTTATATGCCATCCTAGAGGCTTTATGCAGCAGCTGATGGAAGTAGAGGCAGATACCAACAGACAAACACTGAACTGAACTGGAATCCAGCTGCAGAGGAGGAGGAGTGATGAGCCACATACCAAGCTGGTGAAACCCACAGAAACAGCTGACCTGAACAAGGGAGAGCTCTTGGCCCCCAGAGATTGATCACTGGGAAACCAGAATGGAACTGATTCAGAACCCATCAATGTGGCTGTCAGTGAATAGGCCTCAGAAATATATGGGGCCTCTTATAGTAGATGAGTACTTATCCCTAGTATAGGAATGGAATTTAGGAGCCCATTTCACATAGAGGGATACTCCCTCAGCCCAGCCACATGGGTGAGGGCCTAGGACCATCCCAAAGAATATGACAGACTTTGAAGACTACCCATGGAATACCTCACTCTCCCTGGGGAACAGAAATGATATGGGAAGGGTAGGGTGTTAGTGGGGGACAGGGGCAGAGGGGAGGGAGTAGGAACCAGGATTGGCATGTAAAACTATCTTGTTTCTAATTTAAATAAAAATGGAGGAAAAATAAAGTAAAAAAAATATCTTTTCTCTCAGTGTCTCAGCAGACACATATTTTAGACCTCTCTCAGACTCTCAATTTAAAAATCACTTGAGTTGGTTTGGTATCTCCTTTCCAGATTTGGAAACACCAAAAATTCACCTTTAGATGTATATGAGTAGGGTATAGAAATCTGCCATTTCCTTGGATTTAAGTGTAAGCTAGACACTCCTAAAATATTGGTGGTTTTACTTTTTATTGAAGATAATTTTATATCCTATATTCTGATCACAGTCTCCCCTCCCCAACACCTTCCAGATCTTGCATACCTTCCACCTATATCTTCTGTCTCAGTGGAGAACAAGCAAGCAAATGTATCAAAAATACACAAACCAGAATTAAGTATAAAGACAAATATATGTATGTATGCATTATGTATGTATCATGTATGTATTATGTGTGTACATATGCATTTGTATTTCATTTTATTTTCAGACTAATTGGAGGTAGAAGTAGTAGAAGACAGGAAAGAAAACAAAAGTTACAATATTATTCATTTTTGTTTTGTACACTATACCATAATAGAACTTTCCTATTTTTAGAATCAGGATTTCTTTGTGTAGTCTTGACTGTTCTGGAACTTGCTCTGTACATCATTCTGACCTCTAACCCAGAGATTTGCCTGTCTCCGCCTCCTGAATGCTGAGATTAAGGGCATCCACCACCACCTCCCAGAAAGTTTTTACAATTTTTTAAGAAGAATACTCTTCTGTTGAAAAAGATTTGTAAATTAGAAAAGGGAAGAAACAATTACTTGTTGTAAAATGGATTGTGACTCTTTCTTTCATTACTTTTGTAGTATACCATTTGGATGACTTATATTTATGTTATTATTATTATTATTATTATTATTATTATTATTATTATTAATTCAAGTTAGAGAACAGGCTTGTTTCACATGTAATTCCCCTCTCCCTCTCCCTCCCCTCACCCCCATTCCTTCTCCCTCACCTTCAACCTACTCCCACCCCATCCACCCACCACTCCCCAGGCAGGGTAGGGCCCCCAATTTATGAACCATTGCAGTGTGGAGATTCTGTTAATACAGAGTGAGTTCTAGCAGTGTTACAGATAAGAGTTGTTATTCATGTATATTAATACAGTCATTCTTCTCTATCCATGCATTTTCTAATCATGAATTGAACCACACATGTATGCAACATATTTGAAGCACTTTCATCTACACTGGGCCACACAAGTATTTTCTTCTTGCCATCAATTCCTAGATTACAGAAAGAGCTTTCATAGCATCTCCAATATGTTTTTATAAGTATTAGGGAAATGACTAATGCAGGGGTAAACCTCATAGACCCTAAACCACATAAACCTATCTATGATTGTGGCTCAACAAAAAACAGTATGCTTCCTGAAAACATTATGAATTTTGTATTGTTTGCTATATTTTCATATAATTATCAAGCATAAACTTGATTAATGAAACATTGTGTCATCATGTCATGGGAAATAAATGCATATGTACTTTTCAGCCTGAGGGATACAGGTCTGTCACCTCTGGCAATGTATATAGAAGAATATTACATATAAGTAACTGGGGTGCTCTTATGAGGTATTGTGGAAGCAATTCTTTGGATACTGAAGGATAATGCACATGGTTCTCATAAATGTGAGCACCATGAACACAGCTTTCTTCAAAAGAACACAGATTTAAGAGATATTCTAGAAACATCTGTGGAGTCTATGGCATAGAGGTGTATTGTGATTCATGAAAATATTATGCTCTGCTATCTAAAAGGTTAGGAAAATAAGTATAAACAGAAAGCAAGCTCCATAATTTAAAACAAATAATAGTTGGAATTTTAATTTGGTTAATTATTGCAACTGATATTAATTTATCTATAAACAACCCCATAATTATAGTAGTAATATCTGGATTACATATAAATACAAGGAGGTGATAATGGCAGAAATATTTGTAGCTCAATATGACAAGATACTCCACTGGTTGAGAAATCAGCCATATTTACTGTGCAATTACCAAAATTTCTTTGCCATATTTATTCTGAACACTGAAGCAATGGCCTAATGCTTAATTGCACTTATGCCTGTAACTCCAGCTCCAAAGCATCCAATGACCTCTTCTGGTCTCCATGGGTTCATACACATATGACATACAATGTACATGAATAATTGTAACAAGAAAATAGAAAAACAGTCATGAAAGGACAGTGCAAAGGCAGGACTATCTCATGCATACTTATTCCATTGTTCATCCATCACAATGTCATACATAGGAGAGGATGAGAAATTTAGTCTAACTTTGGAAACATAGAGAGTAGGAAAACAAGTCTCTGACTCATAAGAGGAAACTAAAGTGGACTTAGGAACATAGGGGTGCTCACTTGGCAGCATATATACTAAAATTGGAGCAATACAGAAGTTATCATGGTTCCTGCACAATGATGAATTGCAAACATGTGAAGTGTCCACATTCTTTTCAGATGGGCATAGGAAGAGGAGGGATCCAGTTGGGAGGATGAAGGGGAAGAGTGCTGAATTAAATGTCTGGAAAATGTAGAATTTCAGGGTGAGGTAGAAACCAAGTACAATGGAAACTTCCAAAATGCTACAAAGGATGGCCCCAGCTAAGACATACAGCTATATAGGATACATATCCTGAAATGGCCATGTCATATTATGAGTCAAGACTTCAAGTGGTGGGATTGGGACACCAAACAAGCCATATATATAAAAATTTGTCCTACCTACAAGATGTTCTTGGGTAGAGGCGGTTCATAAATTGTTGGATTGGCCAACAAATTGCATGCCTTGCAGGGATACCAAACCTGTCATTGTCTGGAGTGCCAGGACACAGAGCACAGGATAGAAAGAAATAGACTGGGGAAAAAGCAAAACAAAACAAAAAATTGTCAATGTATTGATATTCTGCTATGCTGGTGGATTGGTGCTAGTGGCCATGTCAGAGGAGCAGTAGGTGCCAATTGAAGTTCAAATTGTCATCCCACCAGAAGGAAACTTCTGATAGGTCAATCTCAGACAGGAAATGAACTGAGACCTCAGCCCGTAGAATGTATTTTGCTTCTGTTTGTGCCTTTACATGTTTGCTTCAATCATTCTCTGGTATCTGGCATGGTGTATATAAGGATAAACCTTTCGGCCAAGCTGCCCAAGCCCTGCCACCAATTGGGAGCCCAAAATAACACAGACTTATATTACTTATAATGCTGCAGGCCAATGACTAAGATTTCTCATATGCTTGCTTTGTCTTCAGTATCAACCATAGCCAATAATGTATATATTTTTTTAAGATTTATTTTATACAGGACGCTGGTGGTATGAGTCCTCTTCCTGGAATCACATGATGGTTCCACAGAGAAGAGAGGAAGAGGAAGAGAGAGATTTCCTACTTGTCCATGCTTATATTCTTAGTCAGCCTGCTATGTTACTTCCTGCCTGGATCACAAGACTTCTCTTTACTACAATTCCTAGAATCCTCCTCGACTCCTTGTCCTGACTAACTTGCTTTCCTATTAGCCAACAGTACTTTATTCAATAACCCATAAGACAAACATATACACAGAAGGACTTTCCCCATTACCTCCTCTTTTCTGTAAAAAGAAGGGTTTTAACATTAACATAGTAAAATATATAGCAAGACAGTTATCAAGTAAGAATTAAGTTATAATATTTAATCCATTAACATTTAGCAAGATTTGAAGAAAATATTCTGTCATCTATCCTATCTTTGTGAGTCTAAGTTCTTGTGTGTAACTTATCTTTTATAATAACTAAAGAAAACTATAACCATAACTATCTGTATTCAACTGCATCAAAGAACAAGGAAGGAAAATATATAAACTCTAGATCTGACAGAGACATCTCACTACCTGGACAGTCACCCCAAGTTCCTCTGCAACATTAGGGCACCCATCTTTAGCCCATAGGCCACAGTGTGTCTGGCAGACTCTTCCATGAAGCAGGAACCCTTCAGGAGTGTCTTGTTTTGCAAGCACAGCAGTCACTTTCCTGTGGGTCCTGCATGTCCAGTTTATCAAACAGTCCAGGCAAGAGCAGTTTCTTGCCCAAATGGCTAATCTTGCCATGTTGAAGGCAAACTCCATATTGTGTTTCTTTGATGCCCATCCTCCTTTCTGATGTAATTGATGTGCCAGGAACAGTTGTGTCTCACTGTCACGAAAAACACTAAATCACTTAAATGTCATGTATTCTGTATGTCTTTGAAAGATTTGAGGAATGCCTATCCATCTCAAATACATCTCTGTATATCTAGAAAACCTAACATAATTAAAAGTTCTGACTATAATAGGTTACTAAATACTCTGTATTTAATTATGCATTACATTTTTATAAGACCTGTATAAACACAATATCAAACAAGAAGAGAAATTTACATATCACAAAATTGACCTTAAAGTTGTATCCATAAATGAAAATCCATACCAATATAAAATATCCATTTCTAAATCCTAGGTGTGAGCAGAGGTAGGGAGACCACTATTACATGTAATGTGTAGTGTGTTTATATCATGAAACATACCAGTCTACTTGGCACTTTTATCTGTGGATCATAAAGAAGATGATTTTTCCCCAAATTGTACTGCCTAATTGATAATAATGTTTTCTTATACAGAGTTTTAATGGATAAAAATAAACACAAGGGAATGCTACACATCCAGGGCCTATGAGTTTCATCTAAGGAGCTACATCAATTGTAGCTCAAGTTAATTATTAAGAAAAACAACTTAGTAGCCCAGGTAGTTAAAATTCTTTTAACATTAATCCTTGGAGATGTATTCACAGGTTTCAGAGTGCATCACAGCTGAAGCAAAGCTTTGAAATAACAAAGATATTTTTGTTAAATAACTGTGAGGTGAAAAATCTAAGAAAACAATCTAAAGTTTCAGAAAGGCACATAGTTGAATGCAAAACTTGTTAAGGTCAGGGAACAACAACAAAAAACAAATACCATTAGCTGACATACCCTTCCTGCTAGAATTGACTGATGACCAAAAGTGATGATTAATTCCTTATACCCATTTGTGCCCTCAATCTCCTGATATAAAAAACCTATTGTTGTGTGGTATGTACCCTAAAGATTTAATGTAGACTGCCTGATTCTTTTTCACATATAAAAAAAAATTAGGATTGTGATTACTTTAAGATTCTTTATAAGTTTAGCTTTCAAGATAAGTCATAAAGTAATTGACCTTTTCTTTGTAACTACAAAATGCACCCTGTCAGTAAAAGACTTGACAAGAATACCTTTTTGCCCACAAATGTTAATCTATAACAGTTGCTTAGGTATGATGTACATGGGTTCTTGGGATAATTTGTTTTTCACCTATAATATCTAAGATGCGTAATCATGCAAGATATGTGGAAAACATGTTGTTTTATACTATTTATTTTGTGGGCATTGTAATAATTCACTTGAAAACCAGAATGCAACCACATTGTAATTCCTATATTGCATGAAAATCTTTGTTAGGTTATATAAGCTATAAAAAAAGAAAAGTATACAGTATAAATAACATGGAAAGAACATGCAAGAATGAGAAATAAGAAAGAAACCATCAAGAGAGTGTGTTAGTGTCTTTTCCATAATGCTTTCAGATAGAAAAGCCTTTGTTTATACTCACACTGTGGATTCATTTTGAGACCTATATTCTTTGAAGCGTGGTCCCCCCAGGTGGCAATAGATTGGTACCTAGCTCAATTGTTATTAGACAGGCTTCATCATCAACAGATGGAAACAAACGTGGGCACCTACATCCAAGTAAGCTAAGCTTTGGGAATCTTATGGAAGATGGCAAGAAGGATTTTAGAGGCCAGAGGCGTCAAGGGAATCACAAGAAATCCCACAGAATCAACTAAACTGGGCTCATAGGGACACACAGAGACTGAACAATCAACCAGGGTGTCTTTATGGAACTGACCTGGAATATATAAACTCTAGATCTGACAGAGACATCTCACTACCTGGACAGTCACCCCAAGTTCCTCTGCAACATTAGGGCACCCATCTTTAGCCCATAGGCCACAGTGTGTCTGGCAGACTCTTCCATGAAGCAGGAACCCTTCAGGAGTGTCTTGTTTTGCAAGCACAGCAGTCACTTTCCTGTGGGTCCTGCATGTCCAGTTTATCAAACAGTCCAGACAAGAGCAGTTTCTTGCCCAAATGGCTAATCTTGCCATGTTGAAGGCAAACTCCATATTGTGTTTCTTTGATGCCCATCCTCCTTTCTGATGTAATTGATGTGCCAGGAACAGTTGTGTCTCACTGTCACGAAAAACACTAAATCACTTAAATGTCATGTATTCTGTATGTCTTTGAAAGATTTGAGGAATGCCTATCCATCTCAAATACATCTCTGTATATCTAGAAAACCTAACATAATTAAAAGTTCTGACTATAATAGGTTACTAAATACTCTGTATTTAATTATGCATTACATTTTTATAAGACCTGTATAAACACAATATCAAACAAGAAGAGAAATTTACATATCACAAAATTGACCTTAAAGTTGTATCCATAAATGAAAATCCATACCAATATAAAATATCCATTTCTAAATCCTAGGTGTGAGCAGAGGTAGGGAGACCACTATTACATGTAATGTGTAGTGTGTTTATATCATGAAACATACCAGTCTACTTGGCACTTTTATCTGTGGATCATAAAGAAGATGATTTTTCCCCAAATTGTACTGCCTAATTGATAATAATGTTTTCTTATACAGAGTTTTAATGGATAAAAATAAACACAAGGGAATGCTACACATCCAGGGCCTATGAGTTTCATCTAAGGAGCTACATCAATTGTAGCTCAAGTTAATTATTAAGAAAAACAACTTAGTAGCCCAGGTAGTTAAAATTCTTTTAACATTAATCCTTGGAGATGTATTCACAGGTTTCAGAGTGCATCACAGCTGAAGCAAAGCTTTGAAATAACAAAGATATTTTTGTTAAATAACTGTGAGGTGAAAAATCTAAGAAAACAATCTAAAGTTTCAGAAAGGCACATAGTTGAATGCAAAACTTGTTAAGGTCAGGGAACAACAACAAAAAACAAATACCATTAGCTGACATACCCTTCCTGCTAGAATTGACTGATGACCAAAAGTGATGATTAATTCCTTATACCCATTTGTGCCCTCAATCTCCTGATATAAAAAACCTATTGTTGTGTGGTATGTACCCTAAAGATTTAATGTAGACTGCCTGATTCTTTTTCACATATAAAAAAAAATTAGGATTGTGATTACTTTAAGATTCTTTATAAGTTTAGCTTTCAAGATAAGTCATAAAGTAATTGACCTTTTCTTTGTAACTACAAAATGCACCCTGTCAGTAAAAGACTTGACAAGAATACCTTTTTGCCCACAAATGTTAATCTATAACAGTTGCTTAGGTATGATGTACATGGGTTCTTGGGATAATTTGTTTTTCACC